TGGAGGGGGAGGGAATCGTGTTGGCGGTGATGTCATGGAGGGGGAGGAAATTGTGTTGGCGGTGATGTCATGGAGGGGGAGGGACTTGTGTTGGCGGTGATGTCATGGAGGGGGAGGGACTTGTGTTGGCGGTGATGTCATGGAGGGGAGGAAATTGTGTTGGTTGGGTGAAGTCATGAAGCGCTGGACCTGCAGCCAGTGACACTCCTTTCTCCTCTGTTGGCAGAAACACCTATGGCTGCCGATGAAGGCTCCACAGAGAAACAGGCAGGAGAGGCCCACATGGCTGCTGACGGTGAGACCAATGGGTCTTGTGAAAACAGCGACGCTGGCAGTCATGCAAATGCTGCAAAACACACTCAGGAGAGCGCAAGGGTCAACCCCCAGGATGGCACCAGCACACTAACCCGGATAGCGGAAAATGGGCTTTCAGAAAGAGACTCGGAAGCGGGGAAGCAAAACCACGTCACCACCGACGACTTTGTGCAGACTTCTATTGTTGGCAGCAATGGATACATCTTAAATAAGCCGGCCCTGCAGGTGCAGCCCTTGAGGACTACCAACACTCTGGCCTCTTCACTGCCCGGCCATGCTGCAAAAACCCTTCCTGGAGGGGCTGGCAAAGGCAGGACTCCAAGCGCTTTTCCCCAGACGCCAGCTGCCCCACCAGCCACCCTTGGCGAGGGGAGTGCTGACACAGAGGACAGGAAGCCCCCAGCCCCTGGCACCGACGTAAAGGTCCACAGGGCACGCAAGACCATGCCGAAGTCCGTCGTGGGCCTGGTAATTTTGTGTCTTCTCTTGCTGTTTCCTTTTCCCCATCTCTTGTTTTAATCACAGCAAATGGACTCTGGTGCACTGAGGAGAAGCCAGTAAGTGTCAGTGGTTATCTGACAGGTCCCGTGAGGAGCTAGCAGAGGGCCGGGGTCCGTGGTTCATGCCTGTTATCCCAGCACTTTGGGAGGCTGAGGTGGGTGGATTGCTTGAGCCCAGGAGTTCGAGACCAGCCTGGGCAGCGTGGCAAAACTCAAATACAAAATTTTGTAAAAAATGCAAAATTAACTGGGCATAGTGGTGCGCACCTGTAGTCCCAGCTACTCGGGAGCCTGAGGTGGGAGGATTGCTTGAGCCTGGGAGGCGGAGACTGCAGTGAGCCCAGATCACCCCACTGCACTCCAGCTTGGGCAGCAGAGTGACACCCTGTCTCAAAAAAAAGAAGAAATGCTGCTAATGTCTCAGGCATGAGTGCCAGAGCCTCGATTCCTTCTTGAGCTTTGCCTTCCTCACAGGGTGCTGTTGCCCTCTGTAGAAAGATATGTCAGATGCTTTCAAGGAGGCCAATTCCTCCTCTGCTTTAGACTTTGGGGCTTTCCTTCTGGCTAGGAGAGACTCAGCACTCACCCTGTTTCATTGAGAAGTGAATAGAAATGACCTTGGTTAGAGCCAGCATGTGACAGAGTGAGAGGCAACTGGCCACCTGGACATATGCCCAGGTCTCCCTCCCAACCCTGAGAGCAGATGAGACTTGAATCCTGAGTGTTTCACACTGGCAGGGCGTACCTGCCTCTCACACGCACTGTGCTGATGTTCACACACACGACTCACCTGTCTCTCACACACATTGTGCTGATGTTGACACGACTGACCTACCTCTCACACTGTGCTGATGTTCACACACGACTCACCTGTGTCTCACACACACTGTGCTGATGTTCACACACACGACTCACCTCTCACACACTGTGCTGATGTTCACACACGACTCACCTGCCTTCACATGCACTATGCTGGTGTTGACACATGACTCACCTGCCTTCACATGCACTGTGCAGATGTTCACACAACTCACCTGTCCCTCACACGCACTGTGCTGATGTTGACATATGACTCACCTGCCTTCACACGCAGTGTGCTGATGTTCACACATGACTCACCTGCCTCTCACACGCACTGTGCTGATGTTCACACACGACTCACATGCCTCTCACATGCACTGTGCTGTTCATACATGACTCACCTGCCTGTCACACACACTGTGCTGGACTCATGACCGTACTTTACATGGTATGTACACAGTACATTTTTCGAAGTGTAGGCAAGGCTTTTAATGCGCTCTCCCAGTTGGATGTCTCTTTGGGCGTAAGTTCTAGGTTATGGTCACATTCTCGTGGAATTCCCTTTGGGCGTGAGTTATAGGTTCGTGGTCACATTCTCGTGGAATTCCCTTTGGGCATGAGTTATAGGTTCATTGTCACATTCTCGTGGAATTCCCTTTGGGCGTGAGTTGTAGGTTTGTGGTCACATTCTTGTGGAACTTCCTTTGGGCGTGAGTTGTAGGTTTGTGGTCACATTCTCGTGGAATTCCCTTTGGGCGTGAGTTGTAGGTTTGTGGTCACATTCTTGTGGAACTTCCTGTGGGCGTGAGTTGTAGGTTCATGGTCACATCGTGGAATTCCCTTTGGGCGTGAGTTGTAGGTTTGTGGTCACATTCTCGTGGAATTCCCTTTGGGCGTGAGTTGTAGGTTCATGGTCACATTCTCGTGGAATTTTCTGTCTGATGTTGCTGGTGAACATTCTCAAGCTGCATCCTTGTCCTTGGTTTGTGGATAATCTGCTCTTTCCTCTCAGCCCCGTTACAGGGCTCACAGCCCTGTCACCTGGAGGGCTATGTCTTCAGCTCCAGAGGAATGCTGTGTCTGACTGTTCTTTCCATTTTCCCCTCTTAGGTGGTTGACTCCGCAGTCCCCCTGGGCTACTCTGTCTGTTGCCACCCTCCTGATTGGTTCCTCACTCTTCTCCTTCTTGCTGTTCATCCCATATATTGATGTTTTATTTTGACATCTATGTTTTTCATGCCCAATATCTCTCATTATTTCTTTTTTTTTTTTTTTTTTTGAGATGGAGTCTCGCTGTAGCCCAGGCTGGAGTACAGTGGTACCATCTCGGCTCCCTGCAACCTCTATCTCCTGGATTCAAGCGATTCTCCTGCCTCAGGCTCCCGAGTAGCTGGGACTACAGGTGCTCATCACCATGCCTGGCTGTGTTGTATTTTTAGTAGAGACAGGTTTCACCATGTTAGCCAGGCTGTTCTCAAACTCCTGACCTCGGATGGTCTGCCCACCTCGGGCCTCCAAAGTGCTGGGGTGGGTGAGCCGCTGCGCCTGGCCTGATTAGTTCTTTTAAAATCTTGCCTTATCTTTCAAAAGATAATGATTATAATTCTTCTATCATCTCTGTTATGGATTCCAATTCCTCACGTGGGAGTTTCTCTTACACTTGATACCTCTTGTTTGTGATTTTTTTTCCTCTGAGGTTTAGCTTTTTTCTCTCTCTAGGGTATTTCCACCTTTGTTTCTGTTACTGTGTCTCAGCCTGTGAGTGCTGTGTGCGTGTTCTGTGGACTGCCTGCAGTGACCACAGTGGGCTGTGGGTGCTGTGGGGCTGGACTGCCAGCTCATCGGGCCCACAGCTGCCAGGGGCTGTGTCCACTCCTTGGACAGACAGGGCAGGTGCCTTGTGGTGCTGACAGCCGCCCTGCCCCCGGGGTTTCTCCACTCCCAGCCTGGTCAGTCGGATCCAACTTCTGCCTTTTGCAGTATTCTTCTGTACATGTCAAGACTTTAGAAAATCCTTAAAATAACCATAGCGTTACAGGAAACTGCAAAAATACTACAGAGAGAGCCTGTGTCCCTTCCACCCAGTGTCCCTTAGTGGTGAAGTCTTTGATAACTAGGGAACTGTCAGGCCCGGGATGCTGACATCGGTGAAGTCTGTGGGGCTTGCTCAGTTTCGCCATCACCTGTGTGCATGCGTGTGCACATGTGCGCATGTAGGGAGTTTTGTGCAATGTGGTTGTGTGTAGATGGTGTTACCACCGTCACAGTCGAGACGCGAAGTACCCTTTACACTGGGGGTCCTGATGCCACCTGTGTCGCCACCAACCAGACTTGAGCCTCTGCCAGCCTCTCACCTGCAGATTCCACTTTTACAATTTTGTTATTTCATATTTTTTGTTTTGTGTTTTTTTAAGACAGGGTCTCACTCTGTTGCCCAGGCTGGAGCTCAGTAATGCGATCACAGCTCATTGCAGCATTTGCCTCCCAGGCTCAAGTGATCCTCCTGCTTCTGCCTCCCCAGTAGTTGGGTTTACAGGTGTGCATCACAATGCCTGGCTATTTTTTGTATTTTTGTAGACACAGGATATTGTCATGTTGGCCAGGCTGGTCTTGAATTCGTGACCTCAGGTGATCTGCCCACCTCGGCCTCCCAAAGTGCTGGGATTACAGGCCTGAGCCAATGTGCTTGGCCTATTTCAGATTTTCTATAAATGGAATTACAGTGTATGTAACCTTTTGAGAGTGGCTTTTGTCACTCAGCATAGTTCTTTTAAGATTTATACAAGTTACTGGGCACGGTGGCTCACACGCCTGTAACCTCAGCAGTTTGGGAGGCAGATCACCTGAGGACAGGGGTTCAAGACCAGCCTGGCCAACCTGGTGAAACCCTGTCTCTACTAAAAATATAAAAATTAGCTGGGCATGGTGGCGGGTGTCTGAAATTCCAGCTGCTCAGGAGGCTGAGGCAGGAGAATTGTTTGAAGAGGGAGGTGAAGGTTGCAGTGAGCCGAAATTGCACTGTTGCACTCCAGCCTGGGCAACAGAGCGAGACTCCACCTCAAAAAAACAAAGATCCATACAAGTTATGTCACTAGGCCGTCCCTTGCTCTGCGGAGCCCGTGGTGCTCTGTGGGTTGTGGACAGCCTTGTATGTCGGCGCTCACCTGCTGAAGGGCACTGGGCATTTTACAGTACAGCTGCTCTGAATATTTATGTACACATTTTGGACATAAGGTTGACCTCTGTGTGTCAGATACACAGGAGTATAATCACTGGGTTGTATGGCCTCTGGGTGTTTAATTTTACAAGGAAAATGGTGACGCACACTCCAGAGGGGCTGCAGCATTTCACATTCCCACCCACAGCCTGGGAGGAGCTGCTTTCTTGTTTTCTGTTGTCCTCACCAGTGTTTGTTACCTGTTTTTCTTTTGAGATGGAGTTTCACGCTGTTGCCCAGGCTGGAGCACAGTGGCGTGATCTTGGCTGACTGCAACCTCCACCTCCTGGGTTCAAGCAATTCTCCTGCCTCAGCCTCCCAAGTAGTTGGGATTTCAGGTGCACGCCACCACACCCAGCTAATTTTTGTATTTTACTAGAGACGGGGTTTCGCCACGTTGTCCAGGATGGTCTCGATCTCCTGACCTCATGATCCACCTGCCTCAGCCTCCCAAAGTGCTGGAATTACAGGCGTGAGCAACCGCATGTGGCCTGTTTTGTATTTTAGCCCTTCTGTGGGTGTGCTTTTGTCTCCTCGTGGCTTCAGCGTGAACGTCCCTGTGACTGCTAATGGGGAGCGTCCACTCCCACGCCTCTCACATTCGCCCTCTCCCACGCCTCTCCCACTCGCCCCCTCACCCACGCCTCTGGCACTCGCCCCTCCCACGCCTCTGGCACTCCCCCCTCCCACGCCTCGCGCACCGCCCCCCCCCCCCCCCCCGCCTCGCGCCCCCCCCCCACGCCTCGCGCAACCCCCCCACGCCTCGCGCACCGCCCCCTCTCCCACGCCTCGAGCACCGCCCCCTCTCCCACGCCTGGCGCACTCGCTCCTCCCACGCCTCTCGCACTCCCCACTCCCACGCCTCTCGCACTCCCCACTCCCACGCCTCTCGCACTCCCCACTCCCACGCCTCTCGCACTCGCCCCTCCCACGCCGCCCCCACCCCCACG